TCAGCCTGGCCTCTAAGTGCCTGCTTCTGAACAGGACGAGGTCACCCAGCACTGGGACACACACACACACACACACACACACACACACTGTGGACACATATTTAGTGCTATATTTATTACTGCGGGTATGTGTACATTCATATATGTACACACGCTCCAAATAATTTTAAATTAAAGCATTTTAAAAATACTTAATGGAGGTTAAGCAGCATTTTTAACCTCTGTTCAAGTTATTGAATGGCATATTAAAACCACTGCGGCTCTAATGTACCTTCTAATGCGTGCTGCTGCTTTAACAAATTGCCTATAAATTTTAGTTGAATTAAGCCTATTCCTTGTACATCCAAGTAAGGTTAGGTTAATAATACATGAGGCTTCATTATATGCACCTTCCTTAATAATGTTTTTGAACAAAGTGGGGCAAGAATTTCTGTGCAGCTGTCTAGTTCGGGCCAGTAATATTACAATCGCAGATGAAAGAGGCAGGCAGGGGTCTTCAGACTCGCTAGCGCACTGATCCCTGCCCTGATGCTCACACACAGCGCCCTGGGCCCCCCAGCCCACAGTAACCTGAGACTGGTCTTCGTCCTGCGTTCAAAGAAGTGAAATAAATGCTTCAGATAAGGTGCCTAATGCAGGACCAGTTACCTGAAGCATCTGCTTCTGATACAGAGAGTTCAGGATAAGGTTGTTCTATTTTCTTTCAATATGAATTTAACAGTAAGAGACAAATTCAACAAAGTTTCTGCAGCCAGAAGAATGCAGGCTCAAAAACAAAACAGAGAGAGAGAGAGCTCCACACACACACTCTGGCCTTTCCATATGTTACATAGCTGTGTACAGAATCTCGTTTGGTCCCAAAAAAATGCAGGAGGTGCTTAAGCTGCATTTTTCTTTCCTCCCTTGCAGGGCAGAACAAGGTCCACATTGTCCCCCTGTCAGAGTAATGAAAGGAGTGCCCACAGACTGCACAGTGCCCACGTCTAGGAGAATGCCACTGAGGTGCCTTTAAATAAAATTGTTCCCTCCATTCAGAAAATACACATGAAGCACCTGCCGTGGAGACGCTGCCCTGCGTGCCTGCGACACAGCTCTGAACAACCTGAGAAACGACCCCTGGACTCGCAGGCTGAAGGGAAGTCCAGGGTCTGAAAACTCCTGGAAAGGAGGGCGGAGCATTCCTGGGCGTTACATGTCACCTGGGCTTTCTACCTACACTGACGGGAAGCCAATGAACAAAAGTGTCACCTTGGCCGCCTGTTGAGAAGCGGGTTAAGAAGGACAAAGGGTTGAGGGAGCTTTTTGAACAGCCCAAGAGAAAGACTATAATGGCAGGAACCAAGATAGACAAGGGAGGGTGTCGAGAAATAGCCAAATTTGGATATATTTGAAGGTAAAATCAACAAGATTGATTTAGATAGAAGAGACAAAGATTGTGGGAAAAAACAGAGGCCATTATCACAGGATAATGGCCAGGATTTGGCCCCCAAAGATTACAACCCAGGAAATAACAGGCTAACATTTTCAGTTATGCATAATTGATTGAATGATTTTTTCCCTTCTGATATGTGCAAAAATGAAATCAAAGAACAGGAAAGAAAACAGAAACACCTGCAGGTGGAGGCCAACAATAAGCTGATTTATTAAGGCTGCAAAACTATGGAAAGAAGTGTTTGGAATTACAGGTTCCCAGGGTGTCTAAGGGCAAGTGTAGGTAAACCAGAAGGTCTTGCATTTTGAGATGAGTTTTCTATTTAGAAGTTAAACCAGGGAGGGGTTGAGCTCTACAAGAGCAGGGGAAAAGTGCAAAGTAATTGCAGAGTTATATGAAAGGTGGTCTGTGATGGTTATTTCACCCGTCAGGTGGGCCGGGCTTGGTGCTCAGTTGTTTGGTCAGACACTGGTCTAGACGTTGCCGGGAAGGTGTTTGATAGATTTTCCCAGAATATAAGAACACTGGTCTACAGATAAAAGGGCCCAACGAATTTGCAGAAAAAAATATTTAACCAAAAAAAAAAATCACATCATCATGAAATTTTCTGAAATGATATATAAGGAAATGGTAGAAGCTTTTAGAATGTAAAGAAGAAAAACACAAATGAGTTTGATTGGCATCACTAGAAGATAATGGTGAAATAATAATTTCTGAGTGCACACGATGCTATAAAGTGCTAAAATTTCAAATAGCTATACAGGTAAAGGAACAATAATTTCAGACACTCAAAATTCTGAAAAGATAAAGCACTTCCCTCTTTGTACTCTCCTTGTTCACAAGTCAGTGGAGTGTGTGCTCTACCAAATACACAAATAAACCCAAGAAAAAGAAAATATTTGGGGACAGAGCCAAGGACACAGCAGACACGTGAGGACAGCCTGGGCATGACTATGAAAGGGGGTCCAGGACACAGCTGTGGAGCAGAACAAGACCTCCATCAGCTCAGATCAAGGGTTCAAGTCCTTCTGCAGACTGACATAGTTGGAGGGAGGAGGGGCGGAGATGAGCTGATGGATTCCTCAGATATGAGGATTTCTGTTGCAAATTTGTGATTCCTAGAAATATTGAAGCAATCCCTAGAAAACTAGGCAAGGGCAATTTTTTTCAAGAAAGGAAATATAATCAAAGCATATTAAATGGCATATCTGTGAAATAGACTTATGTAGTCATAATAAAATAATCTGAGAATATTGATTTAACCAAATAAAGGGATTACTGAGGACAGGTATAAAGAGCTAAATAGTCATCTTCTAAGAAGGAAGATAACAGTTTACATTTTAAAGGTTGAGGCACAAGAATATATGTAGAAATACTCATAAAAGCCATACGATACATGTAGAGGAGGTGGTGGTGGTAGGGGGAGCTCTGCAAGAGTGACGGAGTAGCTATTTTACAGTGTGAGCCTTTAAACTCCTTTCTTAAAAATGATTATTATTTGCCCTGGCTGGTGTAGCTCAGTGGACTGCGTGTGGGTTGTGAATCAAAGGGTTGTCGGTTCAATTCCCAGTCAGGGCGCATGCCTGGGTTGCAGGCCAGGTCCCCAGTGGGGGCCACATGAGAGGCAACCACACACTGATATTTCTCTCCCTCTCTTTTTCCCTCCCTTCCCCTCTCTCTAAAAATAAATAAATAAAATCTTTTAAAAATGATTTTTATTAAATTTATTGGAGTGGCACGGGTTCATAAAATCACATGGGTTTCAAGTGTATGTTCCTATTATATGATACGTGGTCTGTATATTGCCTGTGTACCCACCACCCAAAGTGAGCCTTTAAAATTCTACTTGATTTTTAAAACTATCTCAATGTAAATCTTGATAAAAATACAAATTGAGTTAAAGATGAAAATACTAGAAAATCATACTCAATGTTTTTCTTCCTACTCATGTTCTCTATCTCCTTCTGTCCTCTATCTCTCGGGGATTTACCTGGTACAGCGTTGTGTTTTAAGAGTCATTTCTTCATGGCCGCCTACCTAAGCACGGATGTCATAAAACTGCTCTGCAAAGGTTTGTGGCAAATTGTCCTCTCATTTGGGAAAGATGAAGAATGGGGACCATCATTTTAAACTTGTTAGAGTTTTAATATCTTGAAAACCAGGATTATCTCAGTCACCTGAATTGCCACAACACTAAGATAATTCCCTCTACGTTGCATGCTTTCTGTAAGTGGTTGGTGTCACTGAAGACACTGAGAAATAGCCAGGAGTTTGGGGAGGAAAAGGGAAGCTGGAAGTGCCCTTCTGCAGAGAGGAGGTGGGGGAGGGAGGAAGGGAATGAACAGATGAATGAATTAATGTACAGGGTCCGGCAGAAGTAAGGCCAGCTTGAGTGTGGTTGCTAGGGTGATAACATGAGTGTAGCGATTCCTAGTTTTCATTTGAACACTTCACCTCAAATGTCATATGGTGTGCTTGAGTGTGATATTGTTATGTGACAGAATTGCAGGCTTAGGATTTTGTAATAAGGAAGGGGCGTTATTTGTGCCGGGCAGGGTGTATCCCAGCAGGAGCTTTCTCTTAAGGCACAGCTAGATATCAGGTTTTGTGTGCCATCCAGATCACGCTGCCTCCCCTTTGTTTAAGCTAGTCCAAACGGTTTGCTGACACTTTTATCTCAACAAGCATTAACTACTCATCAATTCCTTCCTGTCTGTTGGATTTACTTGTCACAGTGACCATTGTCAACCGGGAAGTAGGGCTCAAGTCTGCTAAACTAGACCCCTTGTCATGTAAAACAGGACTTCAGCCCCACCCTTGAATCGCTGCTTTGCATTTGTATCAAGGTCTGTGTCAGAGGCTCAGATAACTCAGAGCTGACTCTGGCAGGGAGGACAGTTAGTGCAGCTGTTACACAACCGGTAGGTGCAAATATTGCACCATCCTGATGGATTCATTGTAAAGACAGTGTGTTGTGTGAGTTAAAATCGTGGAGAAAGCCAGCAGGTCCCTCTTTCTTCCAGCTGTGAAACAGATGAAAAGATGGGATCGGGGGTACAAAACTATAGCATATTTTACTAAATTAATGGCATTTAAAAGTAATTCTAGATGTTTTTACATGATGCCAGAACATATAGTTAATTTAGGAAAAAAATATTTGGTCCTTTTTATTCAGAAAATCAGTTCCTCATTGGTGGAATATTAGACATTGCATAATAGTCAAATCAAGTTCCCCCTAATCCGGGAAAATAAAATGTATTCTTGCTGTTCTGAGATTTTTTTTTTTCAGTTGTTAAAAGGGGATTTAGTTCAAGTTGAGAAATTCAATATCAAGTAAGTTTCAATTACGACATGTCATTGGCTGGCATTCATCTAAAGGGTCAAACAAATACATCATCATCTTGAATACATTGAGCAGTTTTATATCTGTGCTGCATAATGATATAAATTCAACACTGTTGCTGGAGATTAAACTTTCTAGAAGCTCAGAAACAAAGGGAATCACCTGGCCTGGGGTAAGGAAAGGGAAGTCACAGAGCTCTGGAAAGGTCACAGGTTTCTTTCTTACCTGGTTGACATTGATTACACCTCCTTCCTTGACGATTAGGCAAACATTGGCACTGGCCGCTGCCTGGGTCACAAACAGTCTCAGGTAATGTCCCCAGGGAGTCGCACTCACACATTGGGCAGCTCAGGAAATCGCCAGTGGTCACATTGTACCTGTGAGGCTCACAGTGATCGCAGTGAAGACCTGTTACTCCTAATTTGCAAGGACACTGTCCTGTGGATTTGTCACACAGCAGAGAGCCATTTACTGTCCCTGTCTTATCACAGTCACAGGGCAGGCAGAGGAAAGAATTATTTTGCTGTAGGCGGAAGTACCCCTCCAAACAGCCATCACACTGTCGGCCTCCGACGTGGGGTTTACAGCGGCACTGCCCCGTGCCCGCGTCACAGACTGTCCCAGGGAGGGACCCGGCGGCGTCGCAGTGGCAGGCCCTGCACCCGGTGATGTCCAAGCCATAAAAGTGTTCTCTGCAGGTGCCACACTGAGGACCTCGAGCTTCTCCTTTGCACGCACACTGCCCCGAAAGAGGATCGCAGACGTGGTTCACGGAGCCGTAGGGGTGACACCGGCAAGGCTCACATCCGTCATCATTAAAACTCCGGAGGAATTTAAATCCAAAATTGCAACGGTCACATCGGAGCCCTGCAGTTGAAAAGAGGTGAAAATGACTCTATCCTACTTTGTAGGCAGCTGAAGCACGAACAATGGTTCCACCGACACTTAACGCAGATACAAAAGTTGAGCCTGTCCTCACAGGTGATGCCATAGAGGGCTAATCACAGTGTCAAAGGTGATGGCGATACGTAATTTGGTGATGATGCAACTTCATTTTTGGAATGTGCTTTATTATCTTTTATTTGCGTATTACTTAATGCAAAGAAAAATGCTTAATGTAAATATGACTCTATTCTCATACTAGACCTCGTCTCTTGAATGAATGTTAAATGTATTACTTTAATACTAATAACTACATTAAAACTATTATTTTTACTTATTTTAACATTAGCAAAGTGTGCCCATTTTTAAAAGAACAGACAAGACTGAGGTACACTTTTCAAAGCCCTATAGAAAAATTGCATATTATCACACTAGTTATTTCCCTAGAGATCAGAATCCTCTGAAACTATATAACAAAATGTTCGGCTGATAACTATTTTGGTGATAACAGGATATATATTTATTCCTAAATATCACATGTTTAAGTAATTAATATAAATAAAACTTATCCACAGCAATTTTTATTCCAATGCTTTTGTATACTCCATATTTTATCACTTTCAATTAATATAAATTGTGCTCTCCTTGGCCCATAAAGCATTCACACTGCTTGTCAAATTGTATGATTCAGAACATGCCACTTTAAACACTAAATAAATTCTGCTGTTTGGATTACTTTTGGCTAAAGGAGCAGCTACATACATTGCACAAACAGAGGAAAAAAAATGTTTTATCACCTCAACTTAAATCTCTGACAACTTAGGTTAGTTTCAAAAAGAGTATATTACAAGGCAAAGGAATAAAAAAGATGTTTTCTTGAAGAGTAAATGTTCAGATGCAAAATACTTCCCTTAGATAGCCTTCACATATTCATGAATTTAAATAACTGTGCAGCTAAATCCATGGAAACATGTGTTTCAAGCTTTAGTAGCGATAAAAAATTAGTACCAAAATAACAATTGAAAACCCACTCAGGAACTCACAGGTGGAAACGCAGCGCCTACCTGGGAAGAAAATGCATAATGTACATGTATGTAGATGAATAAGAATTCAAGAACTCCGATGGAAGGCAAGTTCTTTAACAGTGATGAATGACCCACCTGAGGCATACCATTTGATTTCAATAAGGAAAATAAAAAAGACCACTATCGCTGCAAATTTTAAAAATAACTGTATTGTTAACAAGAATTATGACTCATTTTGAACTATTAAAATTGGTCTACATGGATTCATATCATATCAGGTTTAAAAATATGCGCGGTGCTTATTTGAATATGCCATACATATTTCTGACAGGCAATCTATTCCTAACGATACCAAGAAAGGCCTACAGGGCATCGCATTTGGTGTGAACAAGTGCAGGCGAGTTAGCGCGCTTGGCATTTAATTCACACTCTTCTCCCTTTTTATTCTAGACGAATGACCTACTTTAATAAAATTAGTGGTGCTAATGTATTTTACTGGTGATAGAATCATTAGTAAGATTTAACAGTTTTGTTAACTCTAACAATTTGTTTTCTGAAGCATGTACAACATACACTGGTATTTTCTGGGGCTTTTTTCTTATGAACAAGGTAAAATTGAATAAGGTTACTTGCTAATCTCATTAGAAGAAGAAATATTTATACATGCTGAATTTATCTTTTTATTAAACTCACAGAATGTGCAGAAAACACTTTAGTTTCCTGCAGAAAACCATCTGTATCAACCAGTAAAAAAAAGGTAAAATGGTAGGGAGCTGATAATAAATTCTAAGTAAATAGTCCATGTTGGTCTTTTTTCTTCCTTGAACTCTGGATTCTAACAACAAAAATTTCATTGAGATGGAGAAATAACTATTTCATTGTCTTTAAAGGCCTCACTTTAACTTTTGTTTTCACATTTTTGAGTTTAAAGTGCATCTCACACTCAAGAACAAAGGACAGCATACAGATTGAACTCATGGATCTGAGGGTTCGTGCGGCAGCTCAGAGAACATGCCAAGGATGCTACTCTGCACAAATGGCTCATCCAGCTTTGCTGAAAAGTTGGTTTTTGTATGCTGGAAACAAATAAGGGCAACTCATGCTAACATTTTTGATGTAATCTTTCTCTAAACCAGAGAAATCTTGTGGAATACCATCAACACATGACCATATTCCTTTATATTAAAATAAAATGCTTATCTAGCTGAATAGAATGATGTTTGTATACATAGATCATAAAATCATTTTATGATTTATCTATATCAAAAACAGAGCATTTGTGTTAGTGTTATATCATAGAAATGAACATATTACCCGGAATAAAATGTTCATATGTATGTGTCTCCATGTATGCATTTGTGTGTGTGCATGTGTGCGTGTGTGCATGTGTGTGTGTGAGAGAGAGAGACTGACTGACTGACTGACTGACAGGCATGTTTCCATTATTCCTAGGTTCAGGTCAATGTTAGAAAAAAACGACGGAGGCCTTGAATGACAACAGAAAGGCAAAGGTCTTTTTTAAACTTCCCATACAAACTGAGACAGGTTCAGTTACAATACAAGACTCACTTCATCAGGAAAGTTTCCTCTCGTAATATTCTCATATATCAAAATTTCAAAGTGCATTATGTACACGGTACATTTTGGGCACTTGATAAATTTTGTCCTTATGTGGCCGTGGTTCCCCTCAAAAATGTTGGAGGTAATAAATTGCTATAATCAAATCTAATTTCTGAAAAATACCTGTGGGAGTAACAAACAAAAAAGCACGTCTTGTATAAAAAAATGATAAATAACACTGAAGGTAGCTGTTTATTATAATCAGCTTGGCACTGAATTACAAAATTAAAATTATGTGGCCCTTTATAACTAACCCTGGCAATATACATGATCTGCGGAATTGTGTTGACTTATTTTGCATTTCATAGGAACAGTTCAAAGAAATATAATAGGAAAATATAGAAAGATTTATCACAAAGGACCCTGTAGCCCAGAATATTTTGAAAAAATCCATTTATTTTGGTCTATTAAGAAAACTAGCATGGAAATCATTTGCTTAGAACTCATTAAGTATAAAACATTTTGGAAAAGTGCTAATTTTCTAAAAGAAACATCTATGCAGTAAGCAAATTATATTTTCCTATGACTTATTAGTATGAGAACATGTCAGTTAAAGCAAGTACAGAATAAAGAAACTTCTAAAGGATCGGTTAAACTGAGCTTCCAGCTGCAGTTTGATAGAATTATTAACGTCATCATTTTTAGACAGCTAATTTCTTCCCATTTTTTTTTTCTTTTCTAGTTTGCCTTAAGCCGGGAAATGTGCTTTACTCTTCAGCTGAGAAATCAAATAGAGGATTTCACTCCAGATAGTAATAGAGACATGACTGTAAACTTCGGCTTGACACGTACCAATGACGTTGGCTTTGCACTTGCACTGGCCTGACTTTGGGTGACAGGTAATATCTCCATCCATGGTCCCAGAGGCATTGCAGGTACAGGGGCTGCAGCCATCAGGATCCAGCTCTTGCAGGTTGTAGAATCCACTCAGGCACTCATCACACTGTCTGCCAGTAACGCGTCTCTTACAATCACACTGGCCTCCAATCTAGGCAAGATACAACATTTTGTAGAATGATACATGGGTCTATTTTTAGATGACTCGCTCATTAGGTACAAGACAGGGAGGGAGGGAGGAAAAAAAAACTAAATGTTAAACAGACAATAAGGTAATAAGGTATATTTTTTCCCTCCTGACACAAAAACTTGTAGCGCTTCAGTGGGGTGAATATATAGAACTGAATGAAAATAAACCCCATGGAAGTCCACAGGGTATGGCTAAAAGGGAAACGTGGAATTAAACTGTGAGCACGGTATAAAGAAATCAAACGGTGGTCATGTGGAGGCCAAAAATAGAAAAGAGACAGCAGTTAATTTCGTCTTTACGATGCGAACTCTCGGTTTTGTTCCTCTCGTTTCCTGTCTTGTTCATCCAAACTTGTTTTATGTTATACACACGAGGTGCTTAATTTAAAGATCTTTCTATAATAATAGTATCTCTTCAAGGTTTTAACAATGTCTAAAATAAAGGTCTTTGTTAACAGCAGCCATTTTTGCCCGTGTTAAAACATTTTTTATACAATCCTGCTTTTAGGAATATTTCAGCATATCCATGGTTCCTTTGTAGTGCATCTTAATCGCACTGAGTATATTTACATAGTTTATATTGTGGTAAAAAAAAAGGTGGAAAAGTGTCATGCTTTAGAACACTGTCAGGCAAAAATAGCTAAAAAGGAGTATTTTTCTTCTTCAAGCTGCTATTTGGGAATGAAAATACATGAGATATATAATACTCGTCTACTGTATACATAGATATAATACCATGTTTGTTAAAGAAAGACCATTAAGAGCTGAAACTTCTCATGAGAAACATACATATAAAATGTGAAGCCACTATGAGAAATTTGATGATAACTTAGGGCTTTCTCAAGAGCTGGGGATCCAGACATCCATCGTCTGAGCAAGTCCCTGGCATGTCTCCCCCTGGTTTCCTTACACTTGGATTGAACCCCACTCTGTACACGCAGAGGCAGGAAAGTGCATTGAAAGGACATAGTCAGATTTACCTTTCATCTCAGGGATATTCCAGAAGACCACATGAGGTTGGGATTCAGTTACAGAGATGGGGAGAAGGGCTTGTAAATATTTAAGTAATTTTTACGAATCTATCATTGCCACATTTTTCCTCATCTGAGGAATAGAAATTCCTGGAGTCGTTACTGAAGTATGTAAAATAATTGATATGGAAATGTCTAAAACTCTGACAAATAAAGTTGTCCACACACACCAGATGGGGCTGTAGATATCAATGAACCTCTATAGGAAACATACATGTAGGTCCCAGAAGACAGGCAAGGACTGTGACTTGCCTCCTGGTACCTGGTCATGTTCCTCACCCAGTCGCATGGACACCAAATAGGGGCTTGATTCAGTCTGCAAAAGGAAGTGGTGGTATTTAATGGTGGGTGTGTGTTTTGCACATGGGAGAGTGAAAAAGGTAGAGAGAAATAAAAGTGCGTTCTGCGCCCGAACTTTGTCTTCCACACACATTTTTCTCCAGTCCTGTCTAAACATAATTCATGCGTCACCTGGAACTTCCTTGCCTCTTCAACTGTAGATAAGCCTGCTTGTAACCCTAATTCAATTTCTGTTGAAAGGCAAAAGCACTCCTTAAATTTACAAGAATTTTATGCATATGGACATTCTCATGATTGCCCTGACCCTAATTTCTGCTGCTTCCACTTTGGACTCTTTTCTGCCAGCTGAGAGCTCTGCCTTGTGTTGCCCATCGGGGCAAAACTCAGCCAGCGACTCCGTTTCAAGAAAAGGAGCCAGACTTATTTCCATAAACTGGCAGCAAAACACGACAAAGATCAGATGGACCAATAGCTGGGACTCTGACCCCTGCAAACAAATGAATAAAGTCCAGTTTACAAGTGTTCTCCCATCCTGTTGTAGAACAGACCAGGCAATAATGTGTCCTTGGACATTTGGGCAAATTTTTCAACATGAAAAACATAGACCAAAAAAAAGGAAGAAGAAGCCTACAAACCACGTGGTGACGTAAGGTTCACAGTAGCAGGAGCTTTAGTCTGTTCACAACTTGTAAAATGCTCGACTTTTCATATTACAGAAGGAGAAACCAAACCTTAGAAAGATCGAGTTACTTACTGATGACCAGATGGCTAGTAAGTGCCCTAACTCCCAAATCTGCACTCATAACCATGATGTTACATTCACTCTGCTTGTGATAAGTTACAAATCTGACAGCAACGGGACAAGGGCTAGACCCAAGGAAGGTCAGGGCCACGGCATGCCCCTGTGAGATGCTGGGTGCACAGTGGAAGAATCAGCCAAGTTGTCCAGTTACTATTTTGTGAATTCCTCTGAATAGCACTGACACCTGGTAATGGGGGCTCTCCATGGCCTTGTGACCGCATTCAGGACCTCTCCATTTTGGACCATCCTGCCAAAGTCTGCTGTCCCAGGCTATGCAGCAGTGGTGGGCATGACAGTCAACTGTGTGACATCTGAAACAATGAATTTGGCAAGGATACTAGTGTCAAGCAAAGAGAGGCAAGAGGCTTAACTATCCTCTACATTAGGAGATGGAATTCTACCAGGGTGAATTCAAGACATCGAATAACCCACACATGATCACTTTTGTATGTGTGAAAATACCACTTCCGTACTTACAAAAATATGAAGCATGATTTAAAGGTCAATAAATAGGTGATCACAGAGGTTCTCTATGTAATAGATACCACATTTGAAGTAATTTAAAGCAGCATTTGGAAAACAGCAGAAATATATGTCTTCCTAAGCACTTTGGCTGGTGTCGAGACAACCTAACATTCACTAGATTACATTTCACAGAACTCACTAAAACCCAGGGAGGTCATACTGACATCGCCAAGCAAAGTCAGAATTTGAAAAGCAGACTCAAAGTTTAAGAAGAGGCAATCTACCCTGGAAATTAAATTTGATCTAGATGGTTTTGTTTGAACAGAGAAGAAATACAAATGGAGGGGGAAAATCACCCCCAAAATTATTCTAATCAATAAGTACATTCTTGAGAATATTCTTTTCTTTTATACAGGTGACTCTAGACTTTCCTTTCATGGAGATTCTTAAACTGCTATTCTTCCCTGTTGAGAAAGTCATTCAGATTTTTCACTCAAAAAATGTTGAATTGTGTACAACTACACAGTGTGCACCCAGTGAGTTGTGAAAGGTCACATTATGTGAGTGATGGTTCTCAGTGTCCACCATGTCTTCCCTCTGATCTGCCAAGGTCACCCACAATGGTGCACAAAATCATTTCTAATGAATTCTCTCCTCTTTCCAAACACATCGAATAAATTATCAATGTAATCTTCATCTACTCCAATTCTGATGCTGATACTTCTGTGGCATTCTAAAAGTTAGGTGGAGAGAGAAGAACATTCTGGGCCCATAAAATAAGGGTGCACTTTCTGTAAACAAATTAAAATCAGGTAAAAGTCATTCTGCCTTTCATTGTCAGGAAGCACCAGCGATTCTGAACAATGCTCATATTACGCTGCTTCTCCCTGCTAAGAAGGACTTCTCCCCTCGCCTCCTCCCTACATGGGACACCACTGTCTCACTTGTGTATGCTCAGCAATATTCAGTCGTTCCCAATTATCTACCTAACAACATGCAGACATCCAATCCCAGTGCCACAACGTGATCTCAATATGCCACACTAGTCTCCTGTGATTTCCTACTACAGCGAGGGCCCCTGAGTTTCTACAGGAAGGGCTGCACAGCAGTGATCTTGCTCAGGGGTTTGTGTTGCAGCTACATCTGCTTAGCAGGCACACCATTCTCACTTAGCTTATCAACCAATTTTGAATGACTCCAGGGAGCACAGTACAGGACAGAGAACAGTAATCATGAGGGGGTGGGGGGACTGGATCCCCACCAAACAACTTCCACTGCCCATCCAATAGCAAGCTTTCTGCAACAAACAATAGTTTTGCTCCTTCTTTCTTGACCTTCATGCTTCCCCCCCCCATTTTGCACTACATTTTTCAGATTTCTATTGCAAGTTTGAACAAAATTTGTAAAAAGCAAACATCCTGATGTTAAGGCAAACACATTTATTGTTCAATATAATGTTAGCTGAAGGTTCTTTGTACATGCCCTTTCCAGATTGAGGGAGTTATTTATTTCCATTTCTGGTATGCAGAGGGTGTGTATCATGAAAGGGTTTTTAAATGTTTCTCTCAAGTTTTTCAACATCTATTGAGATTGTTGTATGAGATTTAGTTAGCGTATTGCATGAACCGATCTTCAGATGTTAAACCACCCTTGCATTCCTGGAATGAATGCCCCTGTCATGAGGCATCATCCTTATTATGTTGTGCAGGATTCAAGTCGTTAACATGTTATGATACATTACATCTGTGTTTATGTGAAAAATTCAGATGCCTTGTTTCCAAAAATTCAGCTTACGGGATTAAGGTTAGGTAACCCGCACAAAACAAGTGGACGAGCTACCCCCAGAAGCCCTCAAAAAGAAGCAAGTGAGAACAAGCCACCAACAGCCACAAGTCCTGCATAGTATCAGTACCTGTGTAGGAGAAAACAGACAGCAGTCAGGGACATCTAACTTTTCAAAGACCTGAAAATGAGAGAATGCAAAGAGCAATGGGCCAGTGTCAGAGTGGGCAGTTGAAAGTGGGAGGGGCTGAGATCCGCTGCAGACTGAACTCTCAAAACTGACTGGCCAGGGCACTCTTCCATGGGAAGCCCCGCTCTGGGGAGAAACCAGAGATTGGATGGGTAGAATAGACAGTTAAAATAGGATGCACTTAAAGATGAAAGTCCTGAAGTGAGTGTGAGCTTGTCACTGGCAACAAAAAATTTTTAAATCTTTACAATTTGATTTAAAAATAATAGTACTAAACCATATATTTCAGGAAGATTCAGTTCAATTTACGGGTTCCTGAGTATTTCTTTCATTCACTATTACGTTCTCCTTTCTCACCACAGTGCCTGGTACATGTTAGCATCCACAAAATG